AAAAAAAAAAAAAAAATATTTATTTAATTTATAAATATTAAAAATATGGACATTCCTCTCATTAAATACATTATTTTAAATTTTAATTAATAAATTTTATTAAGTAATAACGCGTTAATTATATATTTAAAATGATTTCTTCTATATCTGAATGTAGATTTTTCTGTCATTTAAATTTATAATTCTAAATAATTATAAAGGTTAATAAAGTAAATAAATAAATCAGAAAGTTTTAAAATTTGTACTTTTAAATGGATTTAAAAAAATATATTGTTTTTACTTTACGTGATTTATATGCATTACAGTTTAATTGTAGAGTATTTATTTACATTGCAACTTAAGAGGATTTAATTTGTAATGCAAATAAAAGTACGAATAAAGAAAAATAAATTGGAAAAAAATGGGTAGAAAATTTTTATAGATCTCGAGCGTAACGTTAGAATTGTGAATTTTAGTTATTGGTTTGCCAATGTCTGTCAAAAAAGCAGAGAAAAAGTACAGACAAGTTTGCAATGGTAAAGGATCAATAAAAGAAGGGATATATGGCCGAAAAAGATGTTTATTTTATTATCTTTCCCATGTCTTATAAAGAATAGACATTTTATTCCTTTCAAATTATTTATTTTTTTGTTAAATTAATGTCTAGCGAAAAGTTTCTAAAATGGCATTTCTTTTCTAAATTAATATTACAACTTTTATATTAATATTTTTGTGTAACGTTTCTTATTCGTTTAAAATGCTTAATTGAGCTGCCTGTACAGTACAATTTTGTTTACTTCAAGCAGTTTTCTGTGCTGACTTTTAGAACCTCCTTTATTTTGAGTAGCCTTTTTGATACTATTTTTAGAATTTTCTGTTTGTTGAAATTATTTAAATAATTTCTATTCTATTTTTTCTAAATTTATTTATTATTTTCAGTTGTTTAAATGCTCTATCTTTGAAATTGTAATATTTTCTATCGAATAATCAACAAGTTCATCAGATGTTTTCTCAATATTCAATCAATTATAACTGTTAAATGTGCATATACAAGTACTTATGTACTAATTACCATTATAATTTAATGTCTTTGTACATCTCGTAATTAAAGAAATAAACATTTAAATTACATTTTTAAATTAAAATAAATAACTTTTTTCTGATACTTTTTAAAGGGGGAGAACACGAAAAGTTTCACTTTGTACACAAAGAAAAGAAAAGCCGATACTTTAGAAATATAATGTAAATCTGCATCATATTTTAAATCTTTAAAAGATAAAAAAAAGTAGATATTTCTGTAAAATAGTTAGTTTAATGTA